TTGTGGAAAATTGTTTTCAGAAAATAGAGTTTTATTTTAAGTTTTCAAATAAATTTTTAGAAAACATGTTTGGTTGGATGGATGAAGTTTTTATTTTCCAACTTAAAAATTTTAAAAATAATTTTTTTAATTTACATTCAATTTAAAAAGCAGAAAAGTTTTGTTTTCTTGGAAAAAAATTTAAAACTGAATCAACCAAATATTTTGAAACTTTCATGGAAGATTAGAAAAAATTTTAAGGAACCAAATGCACTCTAAGCAACCTTATTTTTTTTTTTTTTTCCGGTCTGACCAGACCTATTTTGGACGGTCTTTTTTTGGTTTGTATTTGGGTTTTATCTACTAGGTTTGGGATTTTTAATGGTTTGTTTTCCGTTTTTTGGTTTGAATTTTATTGTTGAAGTCATATATTGATTATCGAATCTTGAATATAACTAAATTAAAAATCTACTATGAATATCTTTTTAGTTAATAACATCTATAATCATTTAGAGTAAATATGATATCATATTAATCTTAATCTCCCTCTTTGGTCACAACCATCACAAAAAGATCTAGGACTCTTCGATGAGTGGCTTATGGGTTCATAAATCAAACACTTAAGAGTTTATAGTGAAAGCATAATGCTTAAGTGTTAGACGATGAGGTATACTCATCACACTATACCACTTTTAGCACAAATCTTTCCCTCATGAGAGAGAGAGAGAGAGAGAGAGAGAGAGAGAGAGAGCGAGAGAGAGAGAGAATGGTTGAGGCCACAACCTTCCACACCAACAAACCTCCATATAATCACTACACCGGGAGGGGGTGGTGTATCCACATGGTCATGCGTGCAAAGACAACACCAAATACACATGACGTGTGATGAGTATACTGCATGGTCTTATAATGAATAAATGTGTAAAACCTAATGGTTATGTAAAGAACCAAAGAAAGTAAAAAACCATAAGAAGTATTATGGAGGTGATTTAGAATGTCAGACACAAAAAAAGGGAATTGACTTATCGACTGACACACCTAGCACCACACCTAGCACCAGAGAGAAGAATGAGGAGATTGTGCGCTTGCACTTTGTAATGTTTTTTTTCAAATGCACACCTAAAAAAGTCTTTTCTACTTCTTTGAAATTCTATTAGGAGAAGAATATGACCGAAAAATGATGATGTTTTTGAAAAGATAAAAATTTGTATAAAAGTTAGTTAAACAATGTACAAAAATTTGAGTTTAATAGTGTTTATCGAACAACAAATGGTGTTTCCATTAAAGTTTAAACAGATAAACCACTAGAATTACAATACCATATCAAAATAATATTTTAAACAATAAATATAGAGAAAATTAGAAATTTAACCATTTTCCTTAATTATTTTGTAAAAAATAACTAAAAAAAACTCAAATTACAAAATTAACCATCAAAATCACAGATGGATTAGATTCATCTGTGATTTTAGCATTTGATCTGCGAATATACAAGTGTTTAAAACGTGGGCGTGCATTAATAGTTGTACGTTCACAGATGGAACATCAAAGGAAACTGTAGATGAACTTAGTTCATCTTTGATTTCCTCTAATGTTTCATCTCGGATTTGAGTAATTTATTATTATTATTTTAATTAAGTTTGACTACGAAAATAATAGGGTTTGACTATGATTTTACATGAAATCGTCCATAGCTACCGATTTTCGTTTCCAGAGCGAGTTCTCCTAATAAAAACCTTGTAAAATGAAAGTTCAATTTTTTTTAGGTATTTATACCCTTAAAAAAGTCAAAATCGCAAATCAACTAATAAAATCGCAAATGGATTGAGTAAATCTCGAACGTACAACTGTCAAATACACACTCATACTTTAAACACTTGTACATTCGCAGTTCAAATGCCTAAATCGTAGATGGCTCTAATCCATCTGCGATTTTAGTGGCTAATTTTGTAATTTTTTTTTTTTTGGTTATTTTTTGCAATATAATTAAGGAAATGATTAAATTTATAATTTTCTCATAAAAATCCCAAATTAAATTAATTTAACTTTCATAAAAGAATCCCAAATTAAATTAACAATGCTACCTAATTTCAATCGTTTTCCGCCACATTTGTTGTCAATGAGTTTGACTACAGCGCTTCCATGTGATGATGTGAATCAAAGCATCTTCTCTTTCTCAATCCTATTCTGCCATCGAAGAAACAACAACAATGGCAGCGGAGGTAAAGAGGAAGATTTCAGCAGCATCAGCTAGGTCCCATACCAGGAATTCCAAATCCAATTCTTCCTCTTCTTTCCCTACAGGTGCTCTATTCCCATCTACTTCTCGTTATCAAAACTTACAGACTTTAATTACCCTTTGGAATCGAAGCTTTTAATTCCGAACTGTAATACCGATTTTGCTTGAATTCAATTTCTAGCAGATGGGTTCATTATGCATTAATATAGATTTGATTTCTGACTTTTTTGGTCAAATCAGTTAATTTTTTTATCTGCAATTTGAGTTAGGTATTCGGATTTACTATGAAAAGGCAAGCTATAACCTTAAACAATATACGATATACACTCATAGCATATGTTTTGAGCAACTAAAATCAAATAAGGATTGATCTTGTAGTTAAGATATACACACAACTAGCTACCTACTCCAGTTTCAATCAACTAATAATCTAATTCTCTGAAATTTTCAGGGATTTTCATACTATTAGTCTTCATTATCGGGTTTCTAGCATGGGCTTATCAATCAGCTTGTCCACCCGAACCCTTCAAACTCGGATCTCCAGACGGACTTCCCATTACAACCCCTAGAATCAAGCTTCGCGATGGCAGACATTTGTCCTATAAAGAATATGGAGTACCAAAAGAGGTCGCAAAATACAAAATCATCTATGTCCATGGATTCGATTCTGTCAAGCATTACGCTGTTATTGCCACATCGGCCTCTCCAGTATAGTCTCTGTCGTTATCTGTTTCACACTTATTAGTTTCGCTATTGTGTTTCTCGATCAATTCGTTGGCTTTTACAGGATCTACTTCAAGATCTAGGAGTATATATTGTTTCATTCGATCGACCCGGGTATGGAGAGAGCGATCCAGATCCTAAACGAACTTTGAAGAGTTTGGCTTTGGATATCGAAGAACTTGGTGATCAATTGGGACTCGGATCAAAATTCTATGTGGTTGGTTTTTCAATGGGAGGTCAAGTGATCTGGTCGTGTTTGAAATACATTCCTCATAGGTTAGCAGGAGCAACTCTTATAGCTCCAGTAGTCAATTACTGGTGGCCACGTTTGCCATTGAAGCTATCACAAGAAGCGTATTCTAAACAATTCATTCAGGATCAATGGAGTCTACGTGTTGCTCATCACCTTCCATCATTAACATACTGGTGGAACACTCAGAAGCTGTTTCCTTCTCTCACTGTTATTGCTCATAGCCCTTATATTCTTTCCAGACAGGATAAAGAACTCGTTCCAAAGTTTACAGCTGGCAGAGCAGCAGTTGAGGTATTTGGAATTACAATTACTTGACCATTTTAAACCATTTTAAGGAGAATATGAATCTAATGTTACTGTTTTTTGTGTGTTGAAAAGGGACAAGTAAGACAGCAAGGAGAATATGAATCAGTCCACCGTGACTTGAATATTGGATTTGGTACTTGGGAATTTGACCCGATGGAGATTGAGAACCCGTTTCCGGATAATGAAGGATCCGTTCATATTTGGATGGGTGATGAAGATATACTTGTGCCTGTGACACTACAACGTTATATTGCCCAACAACTTCCATGGATAAAATACCATGAGATCACGGGTGCTGGTCATATGTTTCCTTATGCTGATGGGATCAGTGACGAGATCTTAAAAGAACTACTTGTTGGTAAAAATTAGATTAAAATATGTTTTTTTGGGGTTTGTTACTAGCTATTTAAGTTTTTGAGAACATGATGAAACTGTTGTGTTATGTACAATGTCATCATCACAACAAACTTTAGTACCTTTACCTTTACCGGACTAGATCTTACTTATGTTTGTAGATGTGTCTCTTTATGAATGATTTTTTTGAGGCACGCGTTGGCGTTCTTAAGCACATTTTACGATATGTATGGGAACTATTAACCTCTGGCTCTAGATACACACTTCTACTTCTATGAATATCATACTCTAATACGAAATATGGGAATATATCCAACAATAAAACAATCTATTTCTAGGATATTGTGTTCTTTGCAAAATCTTATAGGCCGGTCCTCTAAGAGAAGGAGTGCCATCTCCTGGTCCAGAAGCCAAATATGGTTGGTTTGTCAATGTTGTTGTGGATTACTTAATTTCTTTAGAGAGCTTCACTCCCCGCCTCCTAAAGCCACTAAGCCACTATTATGTATTGTGACAATATTGTGCCATTTACATGTCAAATATATATAGTAGGGTCGTTCACCGTTGGATATCCTCATATTTTTATACATCCGATCTAATACAATCATCCATACGGTATTGGATATTGCCAATTGGTCCAATTCAATTCGTACGTCCAACTGAATCGAACCTATATAATTAAAAATTAGATTGGATTGGATTTATCCATTGGATGTTTAATGTTGATATCTAATATATCAAGTTTCATCTAATTTCCATCCTATTGGATCCATCTAAATCTTATCGAATTTATAAGTATTTAAAATATCTATATTAATCCTTTTTTGTAATTGAAACTGGATACTAATTGGATTATAACTAGGACATGTTAAATTGGATAGTAATTGGGTTGGATCGGTTGAATTTTTATTAGGGAAAATAACACGCCCTACAATGTATTGCACATTTGTTCTTTTAGTCCCTTAATTTATTTTCGTACTTTATGAGAGAACAAACTTGTTTTTGTCGGGTCTATTTGGTCACTTTTGAACAAATTGAATGAGTAACTCATTTGTCATATAGACTTTGACTTTGAAAAGTCTTACCTCTTTTGACCTGACCCATGTCTTGTTTCTCCTTCAAACCCATGACCAGATTCACCCCTTATTTTGGTCGTCTTCTTCTTCTACATCGTCGTCTTATTTTGGAGTTTCCATCTCTCATCAAGCAACCCATGTTTCTTATATAAATCCTTCACAATCAATGAGATTTTTTCTGTAGTGATATCTTGGGAATCTTGGAAAAAGATGACGCTCGATCCAAAACTAAAGCTCACCTTGAAACCAGACCATGAGTGAAGAGCAAGTGATATTGAGTGTGCCATTCGTTTGCTTTTCAAAACAATCATTTCCGCTTGGTTCACGTGAACAGTAGAGGAGAAATGGTTTAAAGTAAACGGAACATGTTGAATCCTAGTGACTGAAAAGCTTGCTATCATGAACATCACCCTTTCATTCCAGTTGGGTAAGCAAGAAACAAGCAAACGATACTTAAATAGATTGAGTCTAGCTACACACATAACAGGGTAGTATGTTAAATGTTGGTAGATAACAAGGAACCTAGTTATATAATCGGAGATTAGTTTTCTTTCATAGTATTTGGATGTCAGAGAGTTGATGCATTTTGAAAAAATTATGAACACTGGTATATGTTGAAGGCCAGGATCCTCACCGCCTTCTACCAACCTCTGTAGAACAACCCTCATCTCGCCATCCATATATATCTGTCAATGACTCTCTAATGGGAGACAACATCTCAAATCTCCACTAATACCAATACAAAAACATGGTGGTGGCAATATCTTTTTTAAGGTCTAAACTGGAGTTTCCATTAGTTGCCATGATCTTGAACACTGATGATGCTTTTGTTGCAATGATCTTGCATATTCTGCCACGATCTTGAACAACTGAAGCTCATACATCTTACCACTCTTTTCATCATACCTTTCTTGCCTTACCCGTGCAATTTGGGTTTTGATTTTTAGGGTTTTGGTGGATAATTGGAAGAGTTTTGTGGGTTCTATGAATATTTTTTTGAAAGAAGATGATTTGATGAAGAATATGACTGTTTGGGTGAAGACACGATGGAGGATCTTAATTGATGAACCGGATGTTTGATGCTTCAATGAATAATGATTAAAGTCTTGATCAAAAGTCAAAAGTCATATGCACCGATCTTTACATGATAAAATTGTTGTAATTAGGTTATGTTTGACAAGCTAACTGAAAAAAACTAGTTGTTAAGCGATAGATAAAACTAATTGTTAACCGATAAAAAATGATGTAGTTAATAGGTTAACTGAAATATATGAAATTATATAAAAAGACATTTAGAAGATTGATTTATTTATTTATTTTATATATAATTACTACAAATGGTAGATTTAGGTGAATTAAAAAAACTCAATAAAATTACTTAAATGTTAGTGTAAACAGCATTTTAAAAACCTACTTGGTAGACTACTTTTTGATTTCACAATCTTAAAAGCATTCCAAAAAATTAACAGAATATGTAACAAACATACTCTTAATAATACCCCTTCAAGGGCTAAGAATGATATACTAAACAAGTAACAAGAATTTCATATTTCGAGCACCTTGTTACAAAGTGGATCAGTAGCAAGGCTTTGGATGAATAGCGAATCAGATTGAACCGATTCATCGTTATCGTTTCTATGCCACGACCACATTGCATAACTTTCACTTGCCACATGTAATTCTCCATGCCCAAAACTCGTTTCCCTAAATGCCGATATCTCTGATGGCGGATCTATGAACCTATTACAAATCAATGGTAATTGTCTTATGTTTCAATACTCAAACTTGTTTTCCCTGAATTAATACAATAGAGGAAAAAAAAAAAAACATTTGAGTCAACTCACATGCCACCAAGCAAATCCTTATTGCCTCCATCCCCGATTGTGATATGCAGCGGGGCACAAATCGTAACTTTTTCCTGGTAAACGCGATTCTGCAAAATAACCATACAAATTATATATACTATCAATTTATCGTTTAGATTGAAATTATACTTACAAAACGCTCATAAACATGGACATGCCCTGCAAAAACGATATCTACACGATGATGGAAAAGTAATTCTTCCATGGATTTCCTCATGTAGACTGACTCCGGCTCATCATGATGAGCAGTGTAAGAATTATACCATGGAGCGTGAACAACCACAATCAGCCATGGTGTTTTGCTCCGGTTAACCTTCTTCAGATCAGACTCTAACCATCGGTATTGTATCGAACCATGGTCAAACTCGATGTAGGAGTTCAACATGATGATGTGAACCTTTGAGACCTCAAACGAGTAATACAGGTTAGACGTAGACCCACTCTCCTCATATGGCATTCGCCACCTTGCATTATAGGAAGTGAACGGAATCTGGTGGAAGTCCGGGAGTATTTCAATGTCATGGTCGCCTTGTGCCACCATCCATGGCCGTCGGCTCGCTAGCGGCTCCACCAGCCGGCCGAATGAGTCCCACAACGGCTGCAATGCGTCGGCATAAGACAGATCTCCGTGTAAAAGCAACAGATCATAGTTTGATTGTGAGATGTGTTCCAGGGTCGATTTCGTCCATTCTGTTTGTCCAAGATCACCGGAGACGGCAAATTTGATCGGAAATCGCCTTGGAGGAGTCTTGAAAGAGAACTCAGACGTTGAACCAGGGGTAAAACAGTAATAATACACGGTGCTATGCTCCAATGGACCTATTACTACATCGTGTATTTTACCAGACTTGTAATAGACAAATTCGTAAGAAGAAACGGTGCCGTTTGCTGAATTTTGGTAGTTCCCGGAAGATGTACCATAGTATACGGTGGCTGGAGTATCCATATCTGTAATCCATGAAATTCGCATTCCATCTTCACCGACCAAAGATATATGAACCTGTTTAAAAAGAGAAATTAAGTCATTTGCACAAAAAAAAAATGGTAATGAGAGAAGTAGTAATCGATTACTTGTTGTGGAGTGGTAGGATCAGCATTTTTTGCCGGCGACACGACGAGTGATTCCCGCGGCGGAGGACGGTTATAAGAATGGGCAACTTGCACCACTCCGGCGAGGACGGCGGCCGCCGTCACCAGCAACGAGAAGCTACGGAAGTTCATATCGGAACTACACAGAGGCACAAGGGTGCAGGAGGGCGCTCCAAATTACACTGGTTTTCTACCCACGTGTTATATACCTTAAAGATTGCATGAATTTAGGACTTTACATTTATGTCAAACATTAAAGTTTATTTTTTGTTTTCAATCTTATTAATTTTACACTTAAATGCTATAAATCACAATATTCTTTTTATTTTGTTTTCGTAATATAACAATATATTCTGAGTAAATTCCAGATACGGTGGTTATGGTTTAATGAAATTCCCACTAGGAAATTCACGGATCTACCGCATATACATGTAACATGTTGATTAAATTCAAATGACCAACCTATCCAAGATTGTCTTTTATGATTTCTTAAATTATTTAAACATTTTTAAATATTGTGCTCGGTTCGGTAAAAACCAAATTATATGAGCAAACCACCAAACTCAATTTTGTAAAACTCAATTTTGACAATCGATGAAATTCATATAGTGATCATGATTAATAGATAGAGAGCAGTGACTTTTATAGCCATCAATAACCTCTTGGTGATTGTCATTAATCTTTGCATCCATTTTTTGATCAAACACTTCTAACCTTGTTTTTATGTTTAAATAATTTGATTCTACTTTGAAACTTTATTCTTTTAACACTAAGATCTGACCCGACCCAACCTACTCAATTTTTTTAAAGATAAAACTTCAAAAATGGTCTCTGTGGTTTTCAAAAATATCAAGTTTAGTCCCTAAGTTCAAAAAACCTTACAGATGGTCACTGTGGTTTCAAAACTTTTAACATTTGGTCTTTCCAGCTTACTCCGTTAGTATTTAGCCGTTAAGTAAGGGACATTTTTGTCATTTCACTACCCATGGACCATTTATGATGTTTTCTATTACTTTTTTTAGAAAAAATAAATAAATAAATAAAATTTAATATGAAAGGGGTCCCACCTCTCTCTCTCTCTCGATCGAAAAGAAGCTAAACCATTTGGACCACCATTTCTTTACTCTAAAGCTTGCGTATAACAAGAAAAAGAGAAGATCGATATCAAACAAGATCCATATCTTGTTATTCACCTGACTTTGGCCTTGAACCACCTCCTATAACCATACGTGCAATCGATCCCACTGTCGGAGCCATCACCCTAAATTTAGACCTCAATCCAATATCATCGGAGTCACTGGAGTCATCAGTAACACGACCATAACCCATTGAAAAACCCATGGATCGTTATTTACTCTACCTAAGTCGCCTCTCTCTTGTCTTTACTCCTTCTCCCCTAGATTTCCTTCTTCTCCATTGATTTTTCTCTATGTAGTTGCTTCTCTCTACCATCACCAGCTTTATTTATTTCATTTATGAACTCCTCTTCCAACTCTTTATGAGCTGTGGTAAACACTAAGCTTTGGACAACATTTGAACATTGACGGTCGCCTCCTCCTTTCAGATACTTCTTCTTATCAGCTACCACAACAGTGCCATCAAAAGCAAATGATTGGTTCCTGTTGAAATCGATGGAGGAAGATCCCAACCTGGTGAGCTTGTATTGACAAAGCTCGCAGATGTAGAGCTTTTAGAGGAAGGCGACAATCGAGATGATGCTTTCGATTTAGGTCAAATATTACACACAAAGCTTGAATCTAGGTTTCAATTTTAGATTTTGATTTGGGCTTACCAATTTAGGTCAAATTATGGTGATTTTGCTCCAATTTTGGTGGTGTCGGAGAAATAGAGAACGTGAGGATGATCGGTGAGGGAGACTATTTTATTTTTTCTAATGGGAGCAATTTATCGGATTCTTAGGCGAGTTTCAACGTGACCCAGTTCGTGAAATCTAAGAAGGATTCGGAGAAAGGAGAACCAATCTGGGATCGGAAAATCAAGAGCATTTCTATTTCGAATTCCAACAATGGTGGTGGGACTAATTTGACTCGAGTGAGTTATGAATCAATGGTGGGTTTTGTCGTCGTACCTCCTTGGCGACCTTCTTGGTGTTGCAAATCTTGCAAGAGTATGACATCTTTCAGATGATGTTGAGGCTTATATCGGGTATAATTGCGAGACAAACAAAGCAACAATGGCGGTGGTTAGTGGTCTGAAAATTATAGTGGCGATGGTGGTGCTTCACCACCGGTAGGTGTAGGTCTGAATGGAAGGAGAAAAAGTTCAGATTGGGTTTTTTCCGCTTTGATTCTTCATCCCGAGAGAGAGAGAGAGAGAGAGAGGACCCTTTAATATTAAATTATTATTATTATTTTAAAATAGAACATAACTTCAAAAATAGTCCCTGCGGTAGTGAAATGACAAAATTACCTTTCACTTAACGGTTAAAAGCTAACGGAGTTAACGATAATGACCATTTGTTAAAAGTTTTGAAACCACATGGACCATATGTAAGGTTTTTTAAACTTAGAGACTAAACTTGATATTTTCAAAAACCACAAAGATCATTTTTGAAGTTTTATCTTTTTTTAATCTTCTCTTCACAACACCGGATCACCACCATCCCCATGTCTCTAAACCATCAATGACACTGACCAAACCGATTTTCCATTTGCAAAAAAGAAAAGGTTTTTTTGTAACTATGATACACCTTTTGGGAAATTAGAATATTTTTTATGTAGACCCGAATAGCGTGTATTTTATAATTTACAAATGTAATTATTTTATAACTTACAAAAAATTATTCACACAAACATTAATTAAGTAATAATATTATGTTACCAAACTCCGAACACTTAAATATAGCTAACATTTACCAAGGAGAAGCGCTTTTAGGATAGCATCGCTGATCCCATCAGCATAAGGGAACAAGTGACCAGCACCCTTGAGCTCGTGATAGTTTATCCATGGAAGCTGTTTAGCGATATAACGTTGCAGTGTCACAGGCACAATTTTATCATCATCACCCATCCAAATATCAACGGATCCTTCATTGTTTGGAAACGGGTTCTCAATATCCAACGGGTCGAATTCCCAGGTACCGAATCCAATATTCAAGTCACGGTGGAGGGACTCGTATTCTCCTTGCTGTCTTATTTGTCCCTTTTCAGCACACAAACAAGAGTTGCATCATATCATATCATCAATCAGGGTTTAATCAACTACGATGGTGAAAAAATTGCAGGTACCTCAAGTAATGGTGCCCTTCCAGCTGTAAATTTGGGCAAAAGTTGTATGTCTTGAGGAGAAAGAATATCAGGGCTATTAGCAATGAGAGTGGAAGAAGGAAAGAATCTCTGAGTGTTCCACCAGTATGTCAGCCATGGAAGGTAATGAGCAACACGTAGGCTCCATTGATCTTCCACAAACTGCTTCGAATACGCTTCTTGTGATAACTTCAATGGCAAACGTGGCCACCAGTAATTAATTACTGGAGCAATTAGAGTCGCTCCTGCTAGCCTATTTCCATGATCACATATTATCATCAGATCACAACCTTCTGGGTTTCATAAAATTCAAACGGAATTTGCCATGAAAAACCTGTGTGGAATGTAATTCAGACAAGTCCAAGTGAGTTGACCACCCATTGAAAAACCAACAACATAGAATTTTGATCCAAGTCCTAATTGATCAGCAAGCTCCTCGATATCCAAAGCCGAACTCTTTAAAGTTTGGTTAGGGTTTGGATCACTCTCTCCATAACCGGGTCGATCATATGAAACAATATGTATCCCCAATTCTTCAATTAGGGTCTGTTAAAATCAACCAATCAATCAAGAAACCGAATAACGAAACTAATAAATGAGAAACGAAAAACGATACCGAGGAGGCTGACGTGGCAATAACAGCAAAATGCTTGTTAGAGTCGAAGCCATGGACATAAATTATCTTGTATTTGGCGACCTCTTTGGGCACACCATATTCTCTGTAGGACAAATGTCTTCCGTCACGAAGCTTGATTCTAGGGTTTGTAATGGGAGGTCCGTCTGGAGATCCGATTTTTTTGGGTGGGGGTGGACAAGCTGCTTGATAAGCCCATGCCAGAAAACCGTTAACGAAGATGACGAGTAGTGATTTCTTTATAATACCTGAAATATTTCTAAGTAGAGTCATAAAATCAGAACTGTATGAGAAATATGAGAGAAATTCAAAGTCGATAAATTGGGGTTAATGATCATCATGTTTGGGAACTCGATCAAGTTCATGGATTGGAATCAGAATTGGAACAAAATCCACTCTGATCTTGATGAACTTTACTGAGTATATTAAAAACACAAATAAATCCATGATGCATGCGTCAAATAGAGCACCTGGAGGGAAAGAAGAGGAAGAATCAGATTTGGCTTCCATATCGTTGGTGTTTCGATCTTCAATGGCGGAGAAGATGGTTTCATTCACTTGGAAGAGTTAAGTTGTACTGAGAATCCTGAGCGTATTCATATCTTTTGAGTTCATCTAAAACAATAATCCACATAGTAACATATTAGCAATTCACAAAAATAACTATGTTTGAAAAGTATTTAGTATCCACTACCATATTTTTATCATCAATCACAAAATAATTACTAGTTTTATTAACAAAATATGCTGTACGTTTGGATACATGCTTTCTGAATTTTGTGTAAAGATAAAGCTTTAAACTTTTTCAACCAACCATGTGAAATCTAGTTACGTCCTTCTCGTGAAGATTTGAGAGAGCCTCAATTCTTACAATTCACATCTTTGATATTAATTATAAATAAAAAATAGCATAAAAAAGCATGTATGTTTTCTTTTGAAGTGTACTAGAATTTTGCGTTGCTCTTTTTTACTGAATCTCAAATAAAAAAAATAAAATTAAATTAAAAAAAGAAGAAGAAGGAGAGAGAGAGAGAGAGAGAGAGAGAGAGAGAGAGAGAGAGAAAAGGAAAACCAGCATTGTGTGTAGTTTGTACTGTCTGTAATTTGTTGTTTTCTACTATGATAAAGACCTCACATGACATGAAACCTGTTTAATTTGATGGGTAAATGACAGTCTTATTTTTTTTTAACTTAAAATCTACTACATCAAACTCTGCCATTTGTCGTAACCCAAATTTCTTACTCATGCAATTTTCATGGCATACTAAACAAACAAGAAGGTAAGACAAAACAAAAAAATAATCAAGATTGACGATCTAGAGACATTGGAAGATGGAAACCCGTTTGATTGCTTAGGGGTGTTTGGGATTGCTTATAAAAAAAGCTTATTTGCTTATTGGATAAGCAAATAAGCTAAAAATGTGTTTGGGTAAGTGAAAAGTGCTTTTAAAAAGAGCTTTTTGGTAAATGAGAATAAATAGTTTTTAAAAAGCAAGAGAATCGTGGTTTTTAAGGGTTTATTGACTTTTTAGTTTTTACCATCTTAAAACCCAATCCAAACATATTTTTAAAACTGCTTTTAGAAAAAAACCATAAATCAATAAACATTTTTCTAAAAAAGCACTTTTAGTTATGAAAAGGACTCCCAAACACCCTCTTAAAACATAAAGTTATAACACAAGAAATAAAGCTAGATATACATCTATGAATTGGTGGACTTATCAATGGTGAAGTATATGTTCTAACGGTAATCTTTATGAATTATGAATGGTTTAAATTAGTTCTTTGTTTTGAGTGAGTGTTTTATTATTAACTATGTGTGAGACCCATATATTACATGAGTTTAATTAAAAAAAATAAATATGAAAATTTAACAATTTGAAAAGTTTGAATTTATAAGAAAAATAAGAAATTTTTTGAATACATTACATATATAAACCCTTTCTAATAAATACTTTACATATATATTACTTTACATATTAAATGTGGAATTTTAATTTAATAAAATGAAAAATACAATAATATGACAAGTGGAAAATAAAAAATTTAAAAATTATTGAAAATGTCATGTGTCCAAATGAATGAGAAGAGGACATGTGGTAAAAAAAACCTTCATTTATTATAGTATATTTAATTTTGTCATTTTTTGTTCTAAATTTTTAATATAGGAGAAGATTAATACCAATATGGTTGTAAGGCTATGAGGAGTGATCACACCCACCCCACTGAAAAAACATTGTCACATGTGGATCATGTTAGATTCACACCCAACCCAATAAAGACTGGAAATGGTTAACACTCAACAAATTCTTTTTTTTAATTTTTTTAATTTTTTGAACATTATATTAATTAAAAAGCATAATTTATAACATATATTAATTTTTTAAAACATAAAAAAATAAAAACACATTTCATTAATTAAAACATAGAAATTTAAAACTTAAATTAGTAAAATTAAACATTACATTGTCTAAATAAAATAAAAATAAAAAAAACATAGAAAAATTTTAATCGTCGTCGTTGTCGTCACTGGTATCATTCGGCTCGTCGCCACCACCATCATCCTCCTCATCGTCATCATTGTCGTCTTCACCGTCATATTTCCCTTGAAATTGTCGTTCCCATATGTATGCGGTCAAACCACGTCGTAGATTGTGATGTATTTCACGGTTTTGTATTTCCAAAACCCTTGAGAAGTATGCCGGACTGCCAACTTGTATTACTTTGGGTGGGTTAAGTATATTGTTTGTGGTATATGAGCAAATAGTCCTACCCTCTTCTTCTATTATCATGTTATGTAAAATAACACAAGCAGTCAACACCGTTCTCAATTTTTCTCTATCCCATGTTCGTACTGGATGTTTGATTATGTGTCACTTTTGTTTGATGACTCCAAACACCCGTTCTATATCCTTCCTTGCAGATTCTTGTGCTAACTTGAACATTTTTTGTTTATCGTCGGCCGAAAATGTGTATGACTTGACAAATGGAGCGTATTCTGGATATCTCCCATCAACTAGGTAATACTCATATTTGTATTCATTTCCATTGACAACATATGACATTTCTGGTGCTTTACCCTGTAAAATATTGTTAAATATCGGAGACGTTTGGAGCACATTCAAGTCACTGTTTGACCCAGCCATACCAAAGAATGCATGCCAAAACCATAAGTCATTTGAAACCACCGCCTCCAAAATAAGAGTTGGCACCCTATGATCACCTCGCGTGAACTGGCCACGCCACGTATTGGGATAATTTTCCCACTCCCAATGTGTACAATCAATGCTACCAAACATCCCTGGAAAACATGTTTCGCTTGATGCGTGACTTAAAACTGTTCGACTTTGCTTTTAGTCGAATGTCGCAAGTATGTCACGATAAAACTCTATGACATACTCACAAAATAAATATGTATACTCTCGGCCCGTCCTTTTAGACATTTTCAGATACTCATCTGATGCATCTGCAGTGATGCCGTATGCCAATTGTCTAAGAGCAGCCGTACATTTTTGTATCGTAGTAAAACTGCATTTACCTCTAGCATCTCATCGTAATTGAAAAAATTCATAATTACATGCCAAATCTCTAGTTATACGTAAAAATAATTTTCTACTAATACGAAAACGTTCTTCGAATTTTGATAGGCCATATAAACTATCAACGACAAAATAATCACGTACCAAAAGTTCATGTGCCGCATCTCGATCCCGATTGATACATTTTCTATGCATCTTCTCCACATTTGAACTTTCATCCCTCTCACGTGTCACGTCTCGTGCCGCAGATAATAGTGTATACAAAATAAAATCGTCATCGGAATTGTTATCATCGGAAGACGAAATAATTGGAGGTGGAAAATTATTAATTTTTTGGTTTGATGTGTGTGTTTGTTTTGAAAAAATGTGGGTGTGGTTTAGTGGAAATTGTGAATAAAGTGGATGTGTATATAGATAATTTGAAAAAAAAAAAAAAAATTGTTGTTAATGGTTATAACGGTCGATTGTAACGTTCGAAAATCAATTGCCCAATCAAACACCTCGTCTTCGTCCGTCTTCCGCCTCACGCTACACGCAATCCACCGGACTTGGGGGCGGTGTTCACGCGTGGGAGAGGTTGTCACCTCAGCCCAAGACGCGTGAAACTACTCCCATACCGGTAGCCTAATATAGATTCAAAATAGGGTAGGATTGACAATGTTGTAATATTCGCTTTACATGGCAATTAGTGAAAGAGTTCTTTGATGATGAAAAAGGATCTCTCCTTTTTACTAGTTATCAAATGATTCAAACCCCTTATCAAGTTTTCCTTGTCCTTGTTATAATTTTGGAACACTTTAACCTCGGTTTTCTCATGAAGTAACATTATAAACCTTTTGTATTTTTTTTTAGAAACGTTACGTTTTACAATATTTATATTGATGAAGACATCATTTTTTATTAGCTTTACAAGCTGTATCAGAAGCAAAGCTTTTTAACCAAACAGAATCAGATTCAACCGATTCATCGTCATCATTTCTATGCCACGACCACTTTGCATAACTTCCATTAACAATCTCAAGTTCGCCATGACCAAAACTCGCTTCCCTAAATACCGATATCGGTGGCTGTGGTTCTTTATACCTACGATTTACAAAAACAAAGTTTCTAAAATTATTCAACAATCAAAGCTGCAAACATACACAAAATTCTTCATTTCAATTGAGTCAACTCACTTGGAAGCAAGACCTTCTCGGTTTCCTCCATCCCCAATTGTGATATACATCGGCCCGCAGTTATCAATTTCTTGATTGTAAACGCGATTCTGCAAGAATACGAAGTGAGATGATCACTTAATCGGTTATTTATCTGTAAAAAAAATCGTTTCAGATCTGGAGCTATGAAGATGTGGCTTACAAAGCGTTCGTAAGCGTGAACATGTCCTGCAAAAACGAGATCTACACGAGCTTTATAAAGCATTCCCTCCATCATTACCCTCATATCGATCGACTCTTTCTCCCCTTGATGAGCGTAGTTAGAGTTATACCATGGAGCATGAACAATCACAACCAGCCATGGTGTTTTACTCCGGTCAACCTTCTTCAAATCAGACCCCAACCATCGAATTTGGTCAGATCCATATCCAAAATCGGCGTAGGAACCCAACATGACGACGTGGACGCCTGACACCTCAAACGAGTAGTACAAATTAGACGTGGATCCGCTCTCTTCAAACGGCATATGCCACCTGGCGTTGTAGGCGGTGAACGGAGTGTGGTGGATGGCCGGAATTTTCTCAACCTCGTGGTTGCCTTGTGTCACCATCCACGGCCGTTGGCTCGCTAGCGGCTCCACCAGGCGGCCGAATGAGTCCCACAACGGCTGAATCCTATCGGCGTAAGACAAATCTCCGGGAAGCAGAAACACATCGTAATTTGATTGCGAGATGTGTTCGAGTGTCGATTTCGTCCATCCAGTTTGTCCAAGATCACCTGCATGTGTTTAAATTTTAAATAATAAATAATAAATAATAAATCCCCAGTTCTTCAGATCATATACTAACAAAAAAATGTTTGAAATTTGTAACCTGAAACAGCAAATTTGATCGGAAATTGCGCCGGAGGAGTTTTGAAAGAGTATTCAGGGGTTGAAGATGAACCAGTGGCAAAAGAGTAATAATAGACTGTGTTTGGGTTCAATGGGCCTATTACGACGTCGTGTATTTCACCAGAAATGTAAGTTAAATACTCGTAAGACGAAATTACCCCGGTAGCGGAGTGTTCGTATTTCCCTGAAGATGTACCGTAGTTTACGATGGGTGGAGTATGTTTGTCTGTAATCCATGAAATTCTCATTTTATTTTCACCAGCCAAAGATACATGAACCTGTTAAAAAAAATCACAATTTATTACTGCCTCCGTCCCAAAATTATAGTCCATCTTTCCTTTTTGGATTGTCCCAAAATAATAGTGAACTTCTAAAAATAAATAACATTTTTACTAAAATACCCCTCATTATTACTTAACCAAATAAACATTTAATGAAACATTAAATACAAAGTAAGGACAAAA